GAGAGGGCGCAGCTGGAATTGACTAGACTTTGACTGATGCTAGGAGCCCATGCTGATGCATTAAAACAAAACTGAATGCAAAGCTCGCAACACGGCAGAGTTGGTTTATTTAAGGCCAGAATATTTCGGTTAACAAAATTAACCTTCTTCAGGGCCAGAGCTACACTGAGTAAGGCTAATTTTGTTCACTAAAATATTGGCCTTGAGTAAGTCAGCCCGTTTCCGTATTCAGTTTTGTTTTAATTCCCACTTCACGTGACGTCTGGCATTAGCATCTCTACATTAGAGATCCAGCAAGAAAAAACCAGTCGGTTTTATTTAGCATTACTCGCGCGTTGCCGGAGTGGACCTCTGCATTCAAGGGTTTTTTGAATTTGTTTACTTTGTTGTTTGAACCAACATTTAAATATTTTGGAATGCTCTAGAAAGTTTCGAGGTTAAACATAAAACAAAAACTATTGTTCAATTTACTGGCCTAAACTAGTAGGGACACCATGATGGCTTTCACTCCCAAGGACATGAAAAAACGTCATTGAAGTTTGAAAATGCCAAAAGTGCGGCCTTATATTTACTTTCTAACCGGATTTTGAGGAAACTTTTTGTTAATGGTAAACACCTTGCAAGTTTCTTTACTCTTATAGACCAAAAACATGAACTCAAATTATTCAAATTTTGCAGCAAAAAACGTGGTTCCACTTCCTGTCAAAACGGGAAAGTTGCGCTCATCTTTAGCGTTCGACATAACTCGAGTTCCTCCCGCAAGAAAAAAAAAATCCTTCTGGCGGCATAATAAATCCTTTATTTACCAGGTTTGTCAGGCAAAGATGGCTAGAATTTCATTCATCCACCAAATCGGGAATTATTATTGTTACATTTATTGCAAAACTATCAAAAAAAAAAAAATAGAATGAAAGAAATACAAACGTATATTCGCGCGTGCAATGCAGAGTTTACAAAAGGTTTATCCTACTACAGGGTTTGACAGGGTCGATTTCATTTGTAATGCGTCTCTGTGAAATCTGTAACAATTGTCCAACAATTAAATCAATAACCATTATGGAATATGCACTAGCCAAGATACTAGTCTGTTCAGAAGGTGCTTGGTCAGCTTTAAACTTTCTACACGGAAAAAAGGTCTAATTTGACCGAGAATTAGTTAAAAAATGGTCTTTGACCAGATAAGACTGTGTCTTTCAAATGGCATCGACCACGTACTAGGGGAAAATGTTCGAAAATGACAAAATGTGTTGGTTGCACCGCTCTAGCTCCATTGCATTACTCTAGTACAGCACACCCATGATTGCAAGCAACGAGACGGACAGGAAGGCAAAAAGGCCGGCCGACAAGCCTGGGGCACTAGCTGTAGTTGTTGTTTGCGTAGTTGTTGTTTGCGTAGTTGTTGGTATCATTTCTCCGCGCGTGAAAGTGACTGTAGCAAAGACTTTATTGGCATCTGCGCCCATCTGGGTATCACTACTTGAAGTGATACGCATGATGACGTCAACAGGGTTAGTCGCCATGTCTACTGACGTAAAGTTTCGCCCACTATCCGTCCCAGCATCCCACGGGAGCAGGTCCATTGTCATCATTTCTTTCCATCCATTCGTTCCACAGAGATCATAGCTGTCAACTCCAACGAACCAATCAGGTGAAGGTGCGATCATGCTGATTAGAGAGACCATGGAGTACATGCTTTGTACCATGATTTTTGTGCTATTGTAGCCACCTGGGGTGCTTATCGCCCCGGTTTTATAGACATTGGAGACAAAACCGGGCTTTTTCATCATCATAACTTCGTTATACAATAGTCCTTCCATTCCTGTTAAAGGAAAATGAAGGCAAATTTGATATTAAAAAGTGAGGCAAAGGCAAAGTACACGGCTGAATTGGAGTGGAGGGTGGGCAAGGGTGTGGTCAGTCAAGTCTCTTTAGATCAGTCCATAACAAAAAGACAACAGACAGACAAAACAGTGAAAAGGACCGAAAATATAACTGCCATCGCATTGGAATGGCGTTTTGTATTACCAACTTTATTTAGAAATAAACATTGTCAATTCTTGTCCAGTGATTATTGCGGTGTTTTATTTTTATTTTTTCAAGTGTCATGTTTGTTATGTGTCAATGTTTGTCTCAACTTTTATTAGCACTTTAGATATGTATATTTATTATATAGAGACGAGTGTTTTACTGGAAAATATACCACTCATAAAATTCGTGAAAAATACATCCGGGACCCGGGTGGTTTATTTTCCATAATCTCACACGTGAGTTTATCGATGTTTTAATTTCGGTGATTTCCCTTCAATATTTGTAGGCGTCTTGCGTCCTTTGAATTTCAATTACTCATTTCCCAAAGCTTTGCTTATATTTTGGCAATGTAGAGCCCTATTCAGCTCAGTGTTATTTCCCAAGATTATTGTAAACAATGTCTTATATTGCTGTACTGTAAATGTGAGCCGTCACAATTACCGTTTGGCGAATAAAAATCTATTATTTTATCGATGTCTTTTTGTCTTTATAATAAAAAGAACATTACACGTCGGCTTGAAGCAGCTTGAAGATATAAATTTTATTTTCTCGTGGCAAAAACAATATTTTACTTACCCGCTGCGCTCTTTCGTAAAAACAGATTGTTTTGCCACTCGCAAATAAAAGTCATATCTTCGCGCCACCGTGTAGTATCCTCTATCTATTTAGCGCTATATAAAGAAATATATTATTATTCATAATCGTGAGCTCACTGATTCATAGTAGTCAGTCAATATGTCAATCTGAGAATTAGGTGAGATTTTTGCCACACGGATTCATTGAAAGAGCGTTCTAGTTGGAATAATAGGCCTTTAGCAAGTAACCTTGGTCCCGGTTATGAAAAATTCTGTTAGAGGCTTAAGTTTGTTTAACTTTCCCGCTGTAATTTTTTCCCTCCGCATACCCATCAGTGTAATCACTTAGAGAAATCTTACTAGTAATCAATTCTTAAAAATTGACGCACCTGTTTCCGCAACTTTCTTGACACCCGGTGAGGCTCTGGTCATATCACTCCACATTTTGTATTTGTACGAGTGAGTAGCAATGACGAGAGGGGAGAACTTGGCTCCACTCGGCCATCCGTTGGGGTGGGTAGCCTGTGACCATTTCGCCTCAAACTTGACTGTGTAATTGTACATGCCACTGCATTGATTCATGGTTGGCTTGTTTTGTCTCACGAACATCATCTTACCCAGTGTTGGTATTGCTGACGCGGAAAGATTCATAAAATCTGTTGGTGGTGCAAGTTTAGTGATCATGCTGATATAACCGGGGGGCATAGTCGGATTATTCGCAGCCATGAAAGTTGTCCCGTTGTCGGTGCCGGCATCCCAGGGTTGTAGATCATAAATTGTGTGACTGTCCATCCACATTCCGCTCGAGGTGTCACAAAGGGATACCTTCTTAATTCCAGTGAACCAATCAGGTGATGGCGCAAGCATGGTGACAATAGATACCAAAGGAAAGTCCTGTGTGACTTCGACGTCGATATTCATTACGTTACCTGTGCCTGGAATTCCAGCCGTAGAGTTGATTAATTTCCAGGCCGTCTTGCTGTTCATGATTCGCTGCATTATTTCCGCCTCCAGTGTTGCTGAATTACCTGAGGAAAAACGGGATAATAAATGTCATTATCCATTCAAAACATTTCTACGTTTGTGATTGGCTCAACACACTTGTTTTCAAAACGAAGTCGTATACTTATCCCAGTGAAAGTGAAAGAATAAATGGTTATAGTATACGACCTTCGTCTAAAAAGCCCGGGGGTGGACTCCGCATATGAAAGGGGTGGGGATGCTCGTCGTCTCGCTTAGGGGTGAAAGTTTCAGATTTTGGTCTCACTTAGGGTGTTTTGGGCAAAACGCCATCATATTTAGCCGTGAAGGTCTTGTTGAGGGTTGCTCGTGAAAAAATATAAAAATATATATATTGTCTGTGTTTTAACATGGTCTCTTTTACGGGTCAAAAAAAGCTTGGGCCACGCCGAGATCGGTCTCCTTTAGGGGTTTAATTCAAAATTTTCGACGAGCATCCCCACCCCTTTCATATGCGGAGTACCCCCGGGCTAAAAAGATGACAGCTGTTAAAAAAATACTCGGGCAGGTTAAACGCAAGAGCTCGAGTAGCCCATTGTTTGGTTTGAAATTGTGGACTAATGAAAGGACTTTGGACTAATAATTACCACTTCGTTTGACGGTTGCAACGGAATATTGCCGTTTGACGGTTGAGTGTTAACCCTTTCACCCTCTGTGCTAATGACAGTTTTTTTGCTCTGGACAGTCACTGGGGCGCCCAACGTCAATTTTCGGAAAATATCTGTTCGGAAGACAATTTGAGATCTAGAATTTTCAGAACATTTGTTGTAAAATTTCTTGCTTGCCTGCCTCTCCTAGGATTTTCGAGCATCTAAAAAATGGTATATTTGCCCTTTTTTAACGGATTTTTATCGGCTAAAAAGGTCACCTCGAATTTTCAGGAGCCTTTTTTCTGGCTGAAATTTTCGAAAAGGTAAGTTTTGATCCCTATAATTTTCGGATCACTAGACTTTCAGCTAGGAAATCCGAACAGATAAAGTTTAGGGGATACTGCCTTTATCTACCGTTTAAATACTAAAATACGTTTAACAATGCTATGTTTAAGTGGTTTTGAACTATATTCTCGTTGGGTGCCCCTGGAGAGTGCAAGAAGAATTGGGTAACTTTTAAATTTTCACTCGATAAATTCCTAAAATGGAAAGTTATAAACGGACTTAGCGCTAAGTATTTTCAAACAGTTCTCTAAGCTTTTCTTTACTTTGAAGTTAACAAAATCATAAATCGCTTACCAAGCGCCAAATTTTATAAGGTGACATACGGCGGGTTAGACTTGCTACAAGTCGACCTCGCGAGTTTCTTACCGAGTTAAAGGCCGCGAAGCGGCCGAGCAAGCGAGAGGTCCTGAGCCATAGTAAATCGGTCGAAGGACTTTTTTGAAAGTCTAACGGCGGGTCTGTTTTAAGCCAGTATCGCTTAACTAGGAGGCTTCCATTTTTCAGCCAAAGTTTTGTCCTCAATTATTGCAAATCTTATTTTAATTTCATTTTTAAGCTCAATGAAATGTAACATTAAAAAAGCGAGCTATTCACCTCCTTCAGCAACAGCTTGAACCCCTGGAGAGGCCATCATTCCCCCATCCCAAATAGTGTAGTTATCTTCGTGCGAGGCACCAACCAAATTAGAAAATCCGCCGCCTGGAGGCCAAGCAAAGGGATGAGTCATCATACTCCAGTTGCCATAAAATGCCAAGTGGTACGTGGCTACACCTGCACATTTGTATGGAGCAGCCGAATACGCTACTGACAAAAAGCTGCAAAGGGCGACAAAGAAAACTGTCCCCGCCATGTTGATGATCACCGTCGCCGGACCTCACCAGGGCTTCACTTTGAAAACCTTCACTGATGTGAGAGGGCACTCCCTAATTCATTCGTTTAAGAAATGTCATCTTCTTATATTGTTCTACAATTTTTGCTGACGCACCTAAGATGCCTTGTCATGCTTGGTGTACCAGCTTAGTTAGCCTACTTGGCCACAAAATTCTTCAAGAAATCTTTGTCCATGACCAAAATGCTTTTTTCCTTTACATCTTATCTAGCCTCTATCAACTTTTTCGCACTGTTGAAAGATCCTTGAATTTTTTTCGAAACCTTAATTCTTCATTTTGTTATGAAGTAACTTTTTTCCTATGAGGAATTTGAAGCAAGTATACGTAATAGTTTCTTTGTTTGTAAGAACAATGTAGATCGATCTCTTTGCTAAGCGAAGAAGCCTCAGGAAAGCATGACAAAGCACTTGTGTTCAATATAACCGGGATGACAGATATTATAGCGAATTGTAAGTTGCGGTTATTAAACAAAAAAGTCGCCACAAAACTTTCTGTAATTTCTTTTTTTTTTCTGATCTGGGATTCAAATTTTGTACGATTTTGCGTGCAGTTATGTTATTATAAATAACAGATATACCGATGATATCAACTGACGTTACAAATGCACCTGTTTGTTCGCTAGTTTGTTTTGTTTGCCCGTCGCGTCGCAACATCCTAACAATATTCGTTAACTTCGTGATATGAACTTAACATATTTTTAGGTAATTGTAAGGAATAACTTACATTTTAGAAAAACGTTGGCGGTAAAAAAGAAGCTTGATAAAAAGAAAAAAAAACTTTTCGAGTTCTGTAAAGCTGGATTACTGAAGAAATGATGTCGTTATATGCTGCGATTTAAAAATATGAATTTAGAACTATGTTCTCAACAATATTCAAGCCAACGAAAAGGAGTCTGCATATTCCGTCGTTTCACGGAAACCTTCTACCCCATAACCTGCTCATAGTATGTAGCAATACCTTTTCTAAAATCTAAATTTTAGAAGTAGGTAAAACATGTACTAATGGACGTGTATTTTAGGGCCGCCTGAGTCCACATGCTGATTAACAAGCTTATATAGCCCACACATTCTTAAAATATTCAAAAGTAAGCCTATATCTTCGGAGCAAATAAACTTAATCGCTAATGGTGCGTTAAATGAAATGGTTTGTGGGAAAATCAAGTTGTTACTGAAGTTCAAATGTCTTCAGATAGCTCAAGTATTTGAGGCTACTATATAAGTGGACCATGTATTGGGTGGCCAGTGTTGAAATACTTGAAGTATCTAAGAATATATTCTTCGAGACCACACTGGTTCAAAGGGTGCGACTTATATTAAAAACCCGCTCCAAAAAAGAACCTGGATTGTGACTATATCGAACAAGCATGCAGTTAGGTTTTTAAATTGGGGAGTAGGGAAACACTCTAGTTTTAAAAAAACCTTATCAAACAATAATTGATATTGACTGTGTGTATNTTTCGAGTTCTGTAAAGCTGGATTACAGAAGAAATGATGTCGTTACAGTGCTGCGATTTAAAAATGTGAATTTAGAACTATTTTCTCAAAAACATTCAAGCCAACGAAAAGAGTCTGCATATTCCGTAGTTTCACGGAAACCTTGTACCCCATAACCTGCTCATAGTATGTAGCAATACCTTTTCTAAAATCTAAATTTTAGAAGTAGGTAAAACATGTACTAATGGACGTGTATTTTAGGGCCACCTGAGTCCACATGCTAATTAACAAGCTTATATAGCCCACACATTCTTAAAATATTCAAAAGTAAGCCTATCTTCGGAGCAAATAAACTTAATCGCTAATGGTGCGTTAAATGAAATGGTTTGTGGGAAAATCAAGTTGTTACTGAAGTTCAAATGTCTTCAGATAGCTCAAGTATTTGAGGCTACTATATAAGTGGACCATGTATTGGGTGGCCAGTGTTGAAATACTTGAAGTATCTAAGAATATATTCTTCGAGACCACACTGGTTCAAAGGGTGCGACTTATATTAAAAACCCGCTCCAAAAAAGAACCTGGATTGTGACTATATCGAACAAGCATGCAGTTAGGTTTTTAAATTGGGGAGTAGGGAAACACTCTAGTTTTAAAAAAACCTTATCAAACAATAATTGATATTGACTGTGTGTATGAAGCCGTCCAACTGTAACGCCGGCAATATTATTGTCCTCAAAATAATCTTGTAACTTCTCAGTTTAGCAAGTTAATTTTTTGTGATATAGACTCCCACGAAAACGTGAATGAAATTGCTTTCAAGAAAGATAAAGAAATGAGATAAGGAACAGTATTCAACAAATAATTATGGCAAAAATGGTCTGGCATCAGAGGCTCACAACGACGGCTTTTCTACGAGCCTGAATGTTCAACTAAAGCCTTTTCCAATTCTTTCAGTTTAACGATTTAGGGCTTTCTCAGAACCTTCCCAAAGACCTTATTTTTTTAAATTTCGCAAACGGAAGATCGTCTGATACCTCTCTCCGTCAGATCTTTAAGACACAAAATTTTAGGGATCCTGTTTTTCGAAGCCAAGTATGGGGAGTTAAATTTGAATAAACCCAACTTGCGGAAGTTGTGTGGACGTTAAAAAGGAAAATTAAGAACTGTTAGATGAATGGACTGAAAAGTTGATTCAGAAATTTTTAACCTTTCTCGAGCCATAGAAATTTCTAGGCAATGTTTGCTTCCTTGAACAGATCTCATTACACAAAACAGTCGTTAGATTGTTCAAATTCTCGATGCCAGGTTTGAACACGGAATTTAAAGCCTTTTGCTCAAATGTTTGCCTGGAATGAGTTTTTCTGCAGCTAGAAGAAATGTTTTCGCAGTAGTTTTTAAACGTTTTCGTAAAAGTAGAGTATTTTATACCTACACGAAATGAATCGCGCTTCATTGCCGATAAGCACTACATGTCTTTGTAAATTACTTGTTTGAAATTTGCTTCGTAAATCTACATTTCGGAACAGCACTGAATTCAGTATAGCCGGTGAAAATTGCCATCCCTGCACACGTTTAAAAACTTAAATCTTATATATGCCACATTTATGATTCGCAAATTCTTCGCCATTTCAAGCCATCGGTCACACTTGCTTACATTTTAATCGGCCTCTGCGGCCCGACTGAACTGTAGCAGCCAGCGCGTTTAATTATCAAATAGCAGATGTAATCAACCTTAACTGCTTATTGAACGAAATTTCTATGAGCACAATTACCTATCAGACGACATTACGTAGGCCTTTTTGTTTTTTGCAGTAGAAAAGATTTTCAAAAGATAAGCTGGGGAGTTTAAGAACTTTCATTTATTTTAAAATTTACATATTATTTTTCCTGTTTGAAGTAATGAGGGTTAACGTGACTTTTTTTAAAAAACATGCGATACTATGTGAGATTTGAAGAGGTTCATGTCTAAAACACAAGTAGTTTTTAATCTAAACTAGGAATTGTCTGGTGAATCAGTCAAGTGCTTCCTTACTGAATCAAATCACGTATGTTCAGGCTCGATCAAAAAGTGTTGAAAAGAGTCTCTACTTCAATATTTTTTAAAGAAATATTCCGATGAGACGGATATAAAGCTGACAGAAAACGAATTGAAACGATGTGTTTTGTTGTGTTGCTTATTGTTGTTCTAAAACGTGATAGATATATCCGTCTGGATTTATGAAAACATGTCCTCAGTGAGTGTCTAAAGATCCCATGCTAAGTGTGTCCTTGGTACCAAGACTTTAACCCTCCCCACCCAGGACAATGGGTGACTGTCTGCACCTCCCACTGAGCTCTGCAATTATCATGATAATCCTTCTCAGAAAAAAAGATCGTGGAAAGGGATTTTCGGTTTTGACCGCGCGAGAAATGACTCTTGTTCCTCATTCTGCTATTATCTTGTCTGCATAACGCACGTTTCTTCTAACCGACGGAAGAGATTGGATTTTGTATGGTTGAACCAATGAAGAAATATTGACAACATACTGCAAACCGCTTGGTGAAAAACCACAATACTGCAACTTAAAATAAAAATTCCCGCAAAACTGCACCAAAAATCGAGCAAAACCGCAAGCTTACGTGCCCCTCCAACAGGAAAGAACTTTTCATTACTAGGCGAGGCGGAACTGAACAAATATAATCAGCTTGAATGTACATAAATTTTCAACATACGTCCACCAAATTGTTATACATCTTGAGTTTATTCAGTTTTTGCTAGCTGATCAGGAGCAGTAATGTATAAAACAAGGGCGAAATCGTTGCAAAGTTTACAAGAAACCAGACAACCCTTGCCGGATCGTTACCGAACCGCGGGACGTTCAAATTCCAAACTCCTTATCTGGACAGAAAGATATTTAGGCACTATATCTTCTTGGCTTTACCGCTTCTCTGCTACTCCTAGCATGTCCAGGGTAATCGGGACGGGATAAAGTCGAGTTCCCGAAGTTCCTCGTCCAATTAACAGCGACCAGGCTACTAAGCTAACAAAAGGAGACAAAAAAAGATGGCGACGCGAGTGGTACATCGCGAACCAAGAGATCCCCAGTTTGTATTTTGGTTTTTTTTTTGTCTTATTGCTCTCATATTACCTACATGGTATTTGCTTCAAGCGTGAAGGATTTTTCTGAGGAATTTTTGGTGTTTCTTTTTCAAGGGAACTATATAAAGATGCTCTGGAAAATGTGTCGGCCTACAACTCCCGGCTTCGTTTTGAACGGCGGCTTCGCATTCCCTTTATCGATGCTCAAACGGGAATCGCTATGAACGATTGCAACTTATGGATTAGTAAACTAGAACGCCGGCCTGGAAAGACACCTCAGTACATTTACAGCTACCCGGCAAAGAGATGGCGAAAGAAAAAACGACCCACTCCTGTTGAACGGGCAAGCGAGGTCAAAGCTGCGGAAACGGGGGGTAAGTCATTATGGTGTTGTCAGGGGAGGGGAAAGGACAGTCAACTCTCTCTCTCTCTCTCTTAAACGGACACCTTAAGGGCTGGTGCTTTGAGTTTGTCACCAAGAGATGTCCGTCTTACAGGG